CCGGGCCGCGCCGCCCGCTCCGCCCGCGGGGCCCGGCTCCCCCCGCTCCCCCGCGCCCCTCCACAAGGGACCCGGCTTCCCCCGGGCTCCGGCGCCAAAGGCGGGACCGGCATCTCCGCCGGCGGTCCCGGCCACCCCTCCGCCGCTCCCGGCTCCCCCCCGGGCCGCCACTCCGCCCGCGGTGCCGGTGGCCCCCCAGCCCACGGTCCTGCAGCCGGCTCCCCCCCGGGCTGTCACCCCTCCGCCCACAGTTTCCCCGCGGGCTGTCACCCCCCAACCCACGGCACCCCCTCCCCGGGTTGTCACCCCCCAGCCCGTGCCCCCCCAGCCCACCCCGGCTCCCCCCCGGGCCGCAGCCCCCCAGGCGGTGCCAGCGGCCCCCAAGGCTGCGGCCCCTCAGGCCAACTGCTTCCTCCACAAGATCAGCTCCAACTCCTTCACGGTCACTCCCCGGGGGCAGACCCCCAGCACCCGCGTCCCCGAGCCCGGTGCTGTCCCCGCCGGCCGCCCCGCGACGCCCAAGGGGCCACCAGTGCCATCCACCAGCCCTTCCCATGCCAGAGCCAACGCCAGGAGGCCAAAGGCGGAGGAGGCCGAAGCGGCCGTGTCGCCCCTGCCCAGTGCCAGTCCGGCCCCCAGTGCCACTCGGCCGCTCTCCGCCTCAGCCCCGCGGGCCGGGGGCTCCTTCGAAATCCACCCGGCCCCCAAGCCCGACTTGGCGGCCATCCCAGCCCACGACCTGCAGGCACAGGCTCTGGCCAAGCTGCGCCTGAATTCGCGCAATTCCTTCGTCTTCGTGCCCCGCCGGGAGGGCAGCCCGGCTCAGCCCCAGATTGCCAGGCCAGGCCCAGCGCCCTCGGAGGAGAAGGCACCCCAGGAGCCTCCCAGGGCCTCCGCCCCGGAGCAGGAAGAGCCCATCACTTCCCCAGCGGCGCCTCTGGATCCCTTGGTACCTGTGACTTACATCGATGACATTGTGGAGCCGGACAGCGGGGAGCTTCTTCCCAGGGCTGGCCCAGCTGTGAGGACCGGGAGCTTGGCGAATCAGCCCGGAGGAGCTGGCCCTGACCTGGAGATGGAGTTTTCCTCCGTGCCCCTCTACAGACCACACTCTGCCCCCCAGCAGAGGGGAGGCAGCACCTTCACTGTCGTGCCCAAAAGGAAACCCGTGGCCCCGGGGCTGCAGGCTCTCGCCGATGCCAGCGGAAGGCCACAGCGGGAGGAAGAGGAGGAGGAAGAGGACGGCAAAGGAAGAGGCAAAGCCGTGGAGAACGCTGATGGGCCCCAAGTGGGGATATCTCATAAAAAGCGCTACCCCACGGTGAACGAGATTGAAGTGATCGGGGGGTACCTGTCCCTGGAGAGGTCCTGCATGAGCAAGACGGGCTCACGCCGCAAGAAGGTAACCGGGCACCTCTGTGCTCAGCAGCCAGGCTGGAAGCGCTGATTTGGGTTTGGCTTCTCAGGAGGCGCCGCTGGGAGCACGGGCAGAGTGTTTGCCCCAACCAGAGGCTGCCCTCAGAGCTGGCTGAAACAGGGGGTAAAACAGACTCAGAAGTGAAGCCTTTGGGCAGGTGGAAGACAGGAGAGGGCAGGTGGAACTCCACCACACTGATGCACAGGATATTTCAGAATGGTGAGGAAGGAACCAGGGAGTAATATTTCATAGTATCCAACGTTAGGAGAGTTTGTAACTCTTTGCAAGCAGTGCCTTGTTTGCTTTTACTGTCTCCTGGAACTTTAAAGGGAGCCTGAGGACCACAGCTGGGAGAGGGGACTTGGCATTAAACGGAATTTGCTCTCAGGGAGGGGGTACTGGGTGCTGTCCCACCAAGCAGCTGAGGGTGGGATTTGCCCTGTGATAACTGCAGGGCCTCTCCCACCCCATCCCTTCTTGGAGATACGATAATGGAGAGTAAAATATTTCAGGAATTTGGGAGCTCAGGGGGAGCTGCGGGGTTTGAGCAGCTGCGGGCTTGCCCTGTGTCTGAGGGGTTGGGCGTGTTGAGCTGCCCGTGGTCACTTGGGCAGCGTGGCTTTGGTGTCTTCCCCGCATTAGTGATCTATTGATAGAGGCTCAGGAATTGGGTCTCGATTAGGCAGAAAGAGATCAGCAAAGACCTTAACTCCCCTTGATAGGATTATACCACCTGCTCATTCTGAATGTGCAGCTACAGCTCTGAAGATCCAGGAGATGCTGGTTGCTCCAAATGCCTCTGGAGTGAGCGAATGCCAGATTTTCTCACGGCTTGGGGAGTAGTGTAGATCCTTGTGAGCCCTAAATTGAGAATTAATCTTTGTAGGGCTTGGTGAAATGCATCTGGATGTGATAATGGGAGCAGGGGAGAGTTGTTGGGCTCTGGAAGCAGCACACTGAGGTAGCAAATCCCGATTTTTAGGGCTGTGATGTGACATGTTTTTCCATAGTGGGAACTGTTGTGGGACAATTCCGTTACCCAAATCCAAGTAGATAACTGAGGCACTGAATGCACATGGGTGCCTGAGGCGCTGAGCATTATAATTTGAGGAAATCCTTTGAGCAGGATGCATCTCGTTTGAAGGGAGGCAGGGAGTGCTGCTTCCCTGCCTTAACGCTGTCAAATTCCTCCCTAAGCACACGAAGCCTGTGGTAATTTGATGGTGACTAATGCAGGGAGCAGGTCTGGAGCACCTTGAGATCCAGAACAAGCAAATGAGCAGGAGTGTTGATTCTTGCTCAGTGCTCCTGAAGTTTTTCCTTCTTTTACTACAGGGAAATGCTTGGTGAGACTGGAGTTGTTCTGCTGCTTAAACACCTGCTGGCTTGCACTCCCTGCAGCTCTTTTGGCTCTGTTCAGGTTCAATTTGGGGTGTTAATTTGATTTACACCAAATCAGGTGTGTGTTATAAATGGTGAAAATATTAATACAGCATGTTACAGTTGTGAGTGCTCTTAGGATGGAGCAGAGGACACAGAGGGAATCTTGTGGATGGTTATATTTGGGTAAGCCCTACTTCTGACAGAGCTGAGGAGCTGATTTTTCTGAGTAGGGGATGCTGTTGGGGCACAAAGAACAAAGCCCTGAGTAAAACCAGTTAAATGGTGCAGAGTGGAAGGTGTCCTTAACAGTACCAAAATGAGGGAGGGAGATGAGCCCAAGTCCAATGCAGTGATTGAATTGTTTTTTGGTTGGTCAAACCTAGAGAAGTCGTGGAATGTCCAGCCTGGAACTTGCCAGGAGAAAGCTTTGAGCAAATGGCAGGTCAGTCCTAAAGACAGGAGTTTGGGCTAGAGACCTCCAGAGAACCTTTCCCAGCCTAAAATACTGTGTGATACTGGTTAACTACTGCTTTGTGTGTCACTGGTGGATTTGTGTGTGACATTGGGCAGGTCATGGAGCTTCTCTGCCCCTGTTCTTTATCAGCTTAACAGCATTAACTGCCCTGCTGTGCAGCTGAGGTGCCAAATCCTGCAAGGTGCACACACAGCTGTTCCCTGAGAAATGTGTGTGGGGTCCTCCTGCAGGAGAACTTGTGTGTAAACATTTGCTTTCTGAGAGGAGAGAGATTAAAAGGCAAAAGACAAACTGCCTGTTAATATTTGCAGAACTCAGGAAGATGAAACAAATAGGGACCCTTTGAAAAATAAGCTGAAGGAAAGTAGTCAAGACCCAAGTTTCTGGGGGAAATGAAATGTGGTGTGGGAGAAACACCCATTTTTCTTTTAGCTCCCTTCCTGCTCAGTCAAGCACAGAGTATGACTTTGTAGCCAGGGTCTAGAAGATACTGATGGTGGACAAATGGAAAGATTTCTGTTTACTCTTGACCTAGAGGATGTTTGTGGCTTTTACTCTGGGTAATAAGGCTGAGTGTTGATGCCTGAAAAGGAAGGAGCTCGGATTAAGATGCATTCCTTGGTTTCTTCCCAAGAGATCACTCTGTGTCTCCAAGGCAACCAGCCAAAAACAAGAGTTCTGTTTTGTAGCTGTGTCGGGGTTTTCAGAAACTTGATTTTGGCCTGAATTGGGCAGAAACAGCCAGTTCTTGTGATCTGGGAACTGCAGTTCTTTGTTAAAACCAATCCCCTTTCTCTTTTGGGGTGTCAAAACCTGATGCTGGTTTTACTGAGCAGCTTCCTCTGTCTTTTGGGGTGAGCAAGCCCTTCCTGTGCCAAGCATCTTCCTTTCCAAACCTTGCCTTTAAAAGGTCTTTAATTATGCTCCATACTCAAGAAAGTAGTGTTTAGTGAAACGTCAAGAACTTGGAAAAATTTAACTGTTTGCTGGTGCCCAGCAGGAATCTGGGAGATAAAGAGCAGGTCAGCAGAGTCTGGAAATGCTGTGGCTCAATGAGTGTCTGTGCTATCAGGGGTGATCATTTATTGGAAAGGAGGGTGTCAGCCCTGCCAGTTGCACCCCACTGTTCTCTGAGATGCAGATGGTGTTTTTCTTCAAATGTAGAAATTCAGCATCCCTTTTCCATGCTCTGCACAGAGGGAACTCCAGCCCCTGCTCCTGGCTGCTGACAGTGCGTGTGGGACTTGTGACTTGGCTGTGGCCTCAGGGATGCTGCTGCCTCAAGGTCTTTCAGGATAAACAGCTTTATTGCTCCTTCCAGACCTTCAGATATGTGAAGCAGCTGTTACTTTGGGGATTGGAGCTGGAGCTTGGTGAGGGAGAGAGAGGAAGATGATGTTTTGGAAATAAATAAATCTGTTCCCAGCTCTGTTGTGGAGCTGCTGTGGGGGGACAGGGGCTGTGAAGATCAGTGTGGGGCTGGGTGTGATGGGACACATCAGGCTCTGCAGGTGGAGGGCAGAGCCCCAGCCCTGCTCACCCTGGGGGCTGGATGAGCTGGAGCTCCTGTGCTCAAGAGGGGTTCAGGTGCCCTCCAGGGCTGTTCATCTGCTCTAGGGCTGTTCTGGGACCTCTCCAGGCTGTGCCAGCAGCAGTTCAGATAAAGCAGTGTGGGTGGGACTCCGTCTGGGAAGTGTTTGCAGCTCCAAAGGGATGTGCCAGGAGCTGCTGGGCAGCTGCTGGAGGAGCTGGCTGGGCTCTCAGAGAGGACAGGATACATGTGCAGGGGTGGAAAGAGACCTACTGACCTTTATTCTAAACTGGGAGTGGGGCAGAGGATGCAGCACACTGTTGGTGACCTCTGCTCAGGGCTCCTCTTTGTACTCTGTTATTGCAGAGAAGTAAAGGCATTTCAGCAGCACCAGGAGGAAGGGAAGGCTTTGCTGCAGGATGTGGATCTTTGGGATCACAGAGGATAAAATCTTGCTCATCTGAGCTGACAAGAGGCAGTGGGGTTTGGTTACCTGCCAGAATAACGTCTAATAAAGTTGTCAGCGAGATAGAAATCTGGGTTTCTGCAGAACATGTGTGTTGGAGTGAGAGCTGGGGAAGGACAGAGCACTGCAGAGCCAGCCAGGCTCCCCACGAGCCATAACTGGCTTCAGGCTGTCCTCTCCTTGGAGGCTGGACTCTGCCCTGACCCTGCTCCTGCAGTGCATCCCGAGGGTTTTCCTCTCCAGGACCTCCTGCAGATCCTGCAGGGAAGGTGAACGAATTCTGGTCAGGCCACCCAAAGCCCTGCTCGTAACGGGACCTGAGAGCCAGCAGACATCGGGGTGTTGATGGGTTTAATGTTTTTGTTTGTCACAGCTGGCAGTTTGCCATGTGCTGGCAGGCGAGTCGCACTGGTGAGAGCAGGGATTACAGGAACAAGGCTGGTGGGATCCAAACTGTTGGAGCCTGCAGCTGAATTATCTTCAGAGATGTTCAGCTGAACTTCAAAAAGTTCCACCTCACACAAACTTCAGCATATGGTCCATATCCTACTCTTTTGAGCTGCGTAATGCCTGAATGTGGCTTCCAAATTCCCACTTAAAAGTCTGTTAAACAAAAAATTATTTTAAATACCCCTCAGTTCTGATCATGGGCAGCAGCTTTGTTGGTTGAACCTGCTCAACTTCTTACTCTGCAATTTCCCATCTCTTCAGTTCTGCTGGAGATGGTCTCCTGTGAGAACCAGGTCTAGGCTTGGGATGTTGGCAGGGATCAACATTTCCAGCTGTTGCCCAGACCTGTTTGGAGCAAGTCTGCACAGTGTGGAGTCTAAATACTGGTGGCTGCGTGAAGTTTTTTTATGCTGTTTTTTTTTGCCATAACACAAGTAAATTAACCATAACACAAAGAAACTAATCTGGTGGTAGAAGTAGAAACCTCTCTTCAAAAATTCCTTTGATTATGTCATCTCTGTGTTTTGGAGGGGTCAGGGCAGAGATTTGTATTCTTTAGCTCTTGGAGAACTGCGTGTTCCTGTTCTATTTTCTGTCTCTGGCTGTGCTCTGCTGGGGCAGATTCATCTGCCACCTTTAAGGAGGGGCCATGGCATTATCTGACATGGATGTATTGCATT